TCAGGAGTAATATTGACGCATCCCTGGTTCGACGCGGGGTTTGAAGATCAGAGGGAGGAGGCTTGGAATAATACTTGGAAGGGAGGCCGAAACAGACCGGGGCGATAATGAGGCTTGCAGGAAGTATCGCAGGAATGGCAGGGCAGGAGGAGGCTTGGACGGGAGGGGGCAGCTTGTAGAGGGAGGCTCTGAAGAAGGACTCGGTGCGGGGATGCATGATTGAAACTTGGCGGTGCTATGGGGGGAAGAGGAAGAAAATGAGGAGCGTGGATTTCAAAGGGGCGACTTGCGCGGGGGGTCTGCACGGAAGAGGCATCAGATATGGTGGAATGCTCTGTTTGGGCGGGTGCTAGACCCGCGGGGGCAAGCTCGGATCAATGTTTGACGATAGGGCCCTGGCACGGGGTAGGGGCGGCGAAGCATCGGAGAGGTTCGGAGGGAGGAAGGAGGGAATCACGATGTAACGCGGTGTGTGTGTGTGCGTGCGCGGACAGGTCCACCAGGGATAGGCTCCACCAGGGATGGGCCATGGGCTGGTCAAGCCATGGGCCACGACGGACCCCGCTTAGCCAAATCGCAACCAAATAGTAACCAAATCGTAACCATATGGAAACGTAGCCAAATCGTAACCAAATTTGAGATAGCGTAACCAAATTGTAACCACATTTAATATTTTCATAACCAAATCGAAACCAAATCGCACTTCGCAATCAAATTGCGCGCAACCAAACCAAAACAATGCACCCCTCTCATGCGAACTTGGCTCCACAAGAAGCCGATTTGGTTACGCGCGCGCAAGCAACAAACCATTGTGAATTACAATATTTTGGGCGCGTGATTTGGTTGCGACGTCTTGTCTTCTAGGGAACTCCCCGGGAATCAAGAAGCGCAGCAAAAAAAACGATCAAACTCTCGGGTGATACCGAAACTCCAAAAAAGGAACTCTGATCAAACTCCCGGGGAATTCTCAAGACATCCAGACACTCCGGAAAAACTCCGATCAAACTCCCAGGGCCCGCGACATCTGGAAACTCCAAACAAGCAAAAGAAACAAACAAATAAATAAGAAATAACACACACACACACACAAAATGGGGATCGGGATCACGCGCTCGAGGAATGAGATGAACGCGAAAGTGTCCTTCGACATGTCGAGCGGATGTTTGGGGAAGCTCCGAGCCGCATCCATATCTGGAGTCACCTCGGGCTTCTGGTTCAAATACGTCTGGATCATCACTCCGAACTCTTTGGCCGCTGCGTTGGACTTGAACAGGGCGACCACTTCCTCGGCGGCCATCGCGGACGCGCGGCGGCCTTGAAAGCCAGGTAGTCCCTGAGGAACAGAGTGACCAGCTCGGAGTCGGGCAACTGCTGCTGGTCGGTAGTGCGGGCACGCAACTGACGATTGTTGCCTTGCTTTTCCTTGTCGCCGTCCTTGGCCACGGGCTGTCCCTCGCCGCCTCCACGAACTTGTCGCGCGCGCTGTCTGGCCTCTCCCATACATTTGGCCAAGGCTTCTTGGGCTGACATTGTGAGAGGAGGCCGGCTTCCAAGACTGAGATGCTGCGAACAAAAACCAAGGCACTCGAACCTAAAGCATACGAATGAACAGGTATAGGTGCATGTGCGTGCTGTGCAATTTCTTCTCTTTCGAATAAGAATGTCCATCGTTACTCCACAGGTAAAGGGGTCGTGGTAGATGACGGGCAGGAATTTTGGGGGCAGGCCGCGACTTTCCGATAAAGTACGACGCCACTGTTTGGTATTCACAGGCAGTTTAGCATTTTCACGGCGAGCTTTACATCCTCCTTCATGTCGTGCTTTACCATGTGAGTTAGCATAGTACGTGCCACAGTGCGCGCATGCATGGTCACGAAGAAGAGCACGTGTAACCTATCTCGTTCTTGTTAACCACATGTTGTATAGCATTTGCTGACGTGACTCGCGATGAATATAATGCCTGAGCTTGCCTTCATCGTTGTTCTCGAATGCTGAACCTGCAAAACGGACATATGTGCGCTGCAAGATTTGGGGGTTGTTCGGGTGCGGGGAGGGCTGACATCTGAAAGCTGGTCACAATCTTCTGGAACCATTCTGGCAGCCACGACGAGGCCATCGAAAACGTCCGCGCTTTTCTGCACGTTGAACACCCCGCGCATGTGCCGCAACCCATGTTGAGCCAGAAGCCCCCCATACAGTAACCAAGCTCGCGACAACGGAAGCATCGACTGCACGTTTTGCAATGACATCGCTGCGCCAAGCGAACCTCGTCGATCGGATGCTCAAGCATCAAAGTATTCAGAAGCTCGCGTCCAGCCTGGAAGCTCCACCCGCCCGTCGGGACACTGATTCCCGAGGCGCCCTTGGCCCTAGACGTGATACAATCAGCACGACGTCGAGCGGGCCGAAGTGCGGGGTGCGAAGTTGGAGGTGGAGGCGCAACCGGTGCCGCAGGCTGCGGGACCGCGGTGGCGGGTGTGGCAGCTGCCGATGCTGAGCCTGCGGTCAGATGGGGGCTCGCGTCAGTAGCCGCCGTCGCTGCTGTTGTAGCTGGTGGAGAAGGATAAGAGAGAGGACGGAGTTGCTTACCTCGAAGTCGTCGTTTCTTTCGCCGTGGATCCTTTGGAAGTGTGCCGATATGGGTGCGGGGCGGCATGCGAACGTGGCCTCAGGTGGTGCGCCCGCAATTTCCCAGTGGCTGTGGCCACTCGGACGTGGATTTCCTGGAAAACTCCTGGGAAATCCGGAAACTCATAAAAAAACACCACCACCACCACCACCACCACCACCACCACAACAACAACAACAACAACAACAACAACAACAACAACAACAACAACAACAACAACAACAACAACAACAACAACAACAACGACAACACACAACAACAACAACAAACAACAATCATTTTACCCGAACGCTCAGTGTTCTCACCAGTGCCAGGGTTTTCATGCGACGCGAGACAATACCCCCACTTCGTGGGGGGGCATTCAAGCTCTACCAAATATCCAAACGACTCTTCGCGACCACCCAAACCCAGCTTCCCGCCCTATGACGTTGGGACACTTCACTTCGTGGCGTGCGGACGACCGTGGCTACTACACTGGCGTGGGGTACACACCCACAGAACTTGGTCACTTATTCGGGGCGCGCGTGTGCCCAGCATCCTGCAATTGTGACATACAATACATGACACAGACAGACAGAGAGAGAGACAGAGAGCAGACAGAGAGAGAGACAGAGAGAGCGGAGTTGGTCACATGTTTGGGGCAAGTTCCTGAGATCGTCGTGTTTTTTGTTGGTCTTGCGCGCGCGAATGTCCACTTTACTTTTTTTTTGCAAGGGAATTGAAATTTGATTATGTTAGAACAAGAAAAAGTAGCTCGCGCGAGCTCATGTAACATAAATGTTGAAAAACCATTGGTTTTGTGGGAGTCGGACAGCGCGCGCGGGATGAAATTTGGACATTTTTTTTTGAAAAACCATTGGGTTTTTGATGTTTTTATGTTGAAATCGTTACGAAACCTAAGGTTCTGGAAGGATTTCGTCTTGCGCGCGCGAATGTCCACTTTACCTTATTTTTTGCAAGGGATTATTGAAATTTGATTATGTTAGAACAAGAAAAAGTAGCTCGCGCGAGCTCATGTAACATAAATGTTGAAAAACCATTGGTTTTGTGGGATTCGGACAGCGCGCGCGGAAGGACATTTTGACAATTTTTTCTTAAAAAACCATTGGGTTTTTGATGTTTTTATGTTAAAATCGTTACGAAACCTAAGGTTTTGGAAGGATTTCGTCTTGCGCGCACGAATGTCCACTTTACCTTATTTTTTGCAAGGGATTCTTGCAATTTGATCAAGTAAGAACAAGAATTTTCATTTTATAGTGTTTTTTGCAAGGGAAAACGGAGTACAACAAAACAACCGGATCCGGTAATAATTCACTTTTCTGAAGCTTTCGCTAAAAAATGATGAAAATGTAGCTGCGGCCTAGGTTTTGGAGGGGGGTCGCGCACCAGGGGTCCCAACAATAATTATTCTTTAGAAGTAATAATGTTCAACAACAACAACAACAACAACAACAACAACAACAACAAACAGCAGCAGCAGCAACAACAACAACAACAACAACAACACCAACACCAACACCAACAACAACAACAACAACAACAACAACAACAACACCAACACCAACACCACCAACAACAACAACAACAAAACACATCGTATCAAACTCCCTGGGAATCAAGAAGCGCAACAAAAAAAAACGGTCAAACTCTCGGGAAACACCGAAACTCAGAAAAGAAACTCGGATCAAACTCCTGGTAAATTCTCAAGAAATCCGGAAACTCTGGAAACACTCCGATCAAAGTCCCAACTCCCGCGGAATCTGGAAACTCCAAACAAGCAAAAGAAACAAAAAAGGAAATACAAAAAGAAAACTCCCCCAAAAAGCTGGGGAAATCCGGAAACTCAGAAAAAAAACTCCCGGGGAAAACTCACCGAAAAGTGCAGGAAAGTCCGGAAACTCCGAAAATCATCTCGTGAGAAAACTCCTAGAAAACTCGGGGGATGTCCAAGAAACTCTCGAACAAATCATGGATAACTCTAGGAAACTAGATCAGAGTGGTTTTGTTTCAGAGTTTGAGGCCAGAGTTTAATCAGAGTTCGAATTCTATCAGAGTATGGGGCCAACATTTGATCACAATTTCAACCGAAAGTGTTCGAGTTTTGACGGCTTGGGGCAGATGTCGAGTTATGGTGACATAAGTATTGGGTTTACGCTGGTCCTCCTTCTCCTCCTCCTCCTCCTCCTCCTCCTCCTACCCCCCGTCCTCCTCACCCCATCATCATGATCCTCATCATCCGCCATCAGCGGGAGCCCCTTCCTCCCTCCTGCTCCCCCTCCTACCATCCACATGTTCTGCCTGACCGCCTCCTTCTACCCCTCCTCCCCCTCCTTCTACCCCTTCTCCCTCCTTCTCCCCCTCCTGCCATATTTTTCCGTTGCAGAAGCCCCTAACTGAGTCTCTTCTGTGACAGCAGCGGGGCGCCGCGGCGCCCTCAGAGCGACGCGGCCCTGAGGGATGTGGCCCTGCTGCCGCGCCGCTTTGCGTGCAGCTGCACCAGTGAGGTCTCCGACTCCAGGATCGACAGCGCCGACTTGAGCCCCGCAATTTCGGCCTCGCGGCGTGCCTTGCGCTCCTCGTAGCTTTCGGGCTTGGCGATGCAGCGGTCCTTCACCTTGGCGTAGTACTCCAGCACGGCCTTGAGCTGTGAGCCCTTGCCCGAGCGGTCGCTCGTCATGTCCGCGACGCTCTTGTCGAGGGACTTGAACTCCTTGGTCTTGTACACAACGTCCTGGGACTTCATGGTGTTGGTCACCTTGTTCTCCTGCGTGGCCTTGTCGTACTCGGCCTGCGAGTCAGCTTCCTCGGACTCCTCCTGCGCCAGATTCTTCGCGAAGTCGCTCTCGACGACTTCTAGGATGCCCACGATGCTGCTCCCGGCGCCCGAGGCCGCCGAGTGCAGGATGGGCTTTGCGGGCTGCCCGTCGTCCGCGCCACCCTGCAGCATCGAGGCGGCGCCGCCGTAGTAAGCTCGCAGCACGGAGAGCGCATCGCGGACGCCCCTCAGCCCGAGGGTGAGCTCGGCTTTGGCCTTGGTGTACGCTGCGTTCTCCTCGCGGCGAATCTTGTCCATCTCTGCCTGCAGCTTGGCCAGCGCGGCCAGCTCTCCCTGCAGTTCCTTCACGTCGGCCTTCAGGGACGTGGACGTCGCCACGGCCTTGTCGATCTTCGCGGTGAGCGTGGAGATGTCCTCCTCGAGTTCGCTCTTCTTCTCCTCGGTCTTGGCGATCTGATCATCGCAGTACGCCTTCTCCTCGGCGGCCGCGGAAGCTTCCGCCTCCAGCTTGGCGATGAGGTCCGTGATCCGGCACCACGCGCTTGCGGTGGGAGGCGAGGCCCAGCCCACCCAGAATACCTAAGACGCTAGACGGATATGTTCCCCAAGCCGTGTTTGCACTCCTCGTTTCCTACTTGGTCTGAAAGGATTGGGGCTTGGGGGTCGGTCTGGCCGACTTGTTGTCGCCGTCGCCGCCAATCGCCGCCGTCCGTCGTCGCTGCTTCTGTAGAGGCCTCCTAGATGGGGTCAGAGTAGATGGGGTCGAAGGGTCGCGCCGCATCGTCGACCCATCGCCGATGCATCGGCGACGCATCGCCGACGCCAGCGACGCAGCGGCGACGCCTCGGCGACGTCGGCGTGGGGAAACACGGGCTCCACATCGAGCCACATCGTCGATGCATCGGCGCTGCGGCGCGATCCTCCGACCCCATCTACTCCGACCCCACCTATTGAGCGTCCCGGCTTTCCTATAGTCATACCACGAAATGTTCTTAGAACCCAAGAATGTTCTAAGAACAAAAACAGTGTTCTTAGAACATAAACCCGATGTGTTGAAACAAGACAGTCCCAGCCAGAAATGTTCTAAGAGCATTTCGTGGGAACCACAAACGGTTCTCAGAACACTGTTTGGTGGGGATATAGGCGAGCCGGGACGCTTCGCCACTGCTTGAACCTAGGAGGCCTAGATTCTGGTCCCAGGTGTCGGTCGCCCGCCGTCGCCGCCCGCCGCCACCGTCCGTCGCCGCTCCACAGCGCTCGGGTGTCGATCGCCGGGCTTGTTGCCCCTCGTCGCTGCCAGCCGCTGCCGCCGCGCACTGGGCCAGATCACCTCTCCTGTCTTGAGACGAGAGGCACGCGCGCCAAGGATCATGCAATCACGGATGCGGGACGGTTGGAGATGGAGATGGCGCCAACCTGTGGCAGTTCCGGGGAAGCGCGCGAGTGCTGCGACACGCTTGCGAATGACCATAACTGGGGGGCGGCGAATAGCAGCATGGCTGCGTGGACGCAGCGCCAAATTCGATCTGAAGGCGATCTCATTCTGACGGGAAAGGTTTGCGAAGCTCCAACGGCGTGTGATATAAAGCCTGCTCCCTGTACGGAACGAAACGCTTGGTCCCAAAAGGGGTGGCGTGACGGTATGCGTAGCCAAGATCCGCGACCGTGTCTTCAGCACGTTGTGGAGTGCCCCCAGGCTCATGCAGCCCTGACCCGAACCTTGGTTTCCCAGGCGTTCTTGCGCATTTTTGCGCGGGTCCGGGGTGCGTCGCGTGGGCTTTTGGGACGCCACGAAGGCTTGAAGACGGGCCAAGACGGTGGAAAAAAGGGCCCCAAGTCGTCGAACGATCGGTCCAAGACGCCCAAGATGACCTCGAGACGACCCAAGATGCCCTCAAGACGCCCCAAGAGGCCTTCAAGAAACCTGCCGAAAGGGCCCCAAGAGACGAACATAATAGATGTTTGAAAAGTTTGGGGGAAATTGCTAGCTTTTGGGAGCCTTCGTGTGAACTTGTTACGTCACTGTGAACTCGTCGGAACCATGGTACAATTTGGCGCCACGGTCGGTCGGTCGGAAAAAGCAGACAGGAGGGGAGAGGGGGCACAGGGGGCCATGGTCGGACATAGAGGGGGGGGGGGGGGGGCGATCGGTCGGTCGGAATAAGCAGAGGGGGTGGGGGGGCCACGGGGGAAAGGGGAGGGCACGGGGGGCAACGGTCGGGCAGGGGGGGGGGGGGGAACACAGTCGGCCGGCCGGAATGAGCAAAAGGGCGGGGGCCACGGAGAGATGGGGGGGCTCGGGGGGCCACGGTCGGGCAGGGCGGGGTGGACACGGTCGGTCGGTCGGGAGAAGCGGAGGAGGAGGGCCGCAGGGGGAAGGGGGGCGGAGCACGGGGGGGCGCGGTCGGGCAGGGGGGGGGGGACTGCCCGTCGGTCGGAGCAAGCAAGTGGGGTGGGCACGGGGGCAGGGGGGGGAGGGGCACGGAGGGCCACGGCCGAGCAGAGGGGGAGGTACGGTCCGCAGGTCGGAATAAGCAGAGGGGGAAGGCTCGGGGGAGGGGGGGGTCACCGGGGGCCGCGGTCGGGCAAGGGAGGGGGGGCACGGGCGGCTGGTCGGAATAAATTAAAAGGGGGGGAGGGCACAAAGGGTCACGGTCAGGCAGGGGGCGGGGAGCACGATCGGTCGGAAGAAGAAGAAGAAGAAAATAATAATAAGAAGAAGAAGAAGAAACAAAACAAAGAAGACTAACAAAAAGAAGAATAATACAAAAAAAGGCCGCAGGGGGAAAGGGAGGGGGGGCACTGGGGGCCACTGACGGGTTGGGGTGGCGCACGATCGGTCGGCCAGAACGAATACGGGGAACACGGGGGGCCACGGTCGGGCAGGGGGGCACGGTCGATCGGTCGAAAGGAGCAGAGGGGGTGGGCACGGTCGGGCAAAGGGGGCACCGGGGGCCACGGTCGTGCAAGAGGGGGCACGATCAGTCGGTCGGGTAAGATCCACCCTCCTCCTCCCCGGACTTCACGGGCCCCCTTCGCGTGTTGCAAATGTAGGTACGATTCTGCCCCATCATCCATCTTAAATGCACTCGACTCATCCCAGTTGAAAACGTACTTCCGCCCCCCCCCCCCACCCTCTGCCGAGAGACCATGTGCGCGCCCACTCGTTTATCAAAAATATCCACATCCGGGGGAAACAAAGTGTACACACGCGCGCGTCGCTGCGCACGGATGCCGAAAACCCTTGAAAACCGTAGAGGTCGCAAGGATTTCAAGGTCGACCTTCTCGGAGACATGCAAAGACACCGGGCTTCGCAACAAGGCCCACTGTTCAAAAATATGTGTGGTTTATATACATATATACATATATAGATATATACATACGTGCGCAACTATACAAACATACATACATACATACATACATACATACATACATACATACATACATACATGCATGCATACATACATGCATATATACATGCATGCATGCATGCATGCATGCATGCATGCATACATACATATATATGCATACATACATACATACATACAAACATACATGCATACATGTTGAGCTCGCGATGTTTCGGTGTTGTATTTATTTCTTATTAACATTACATGTATACTTATATATATATATATATACACGTGTATATATATATATAAAAGTTGCTCTGCGTGTCCACCAAATGCCACCAAGCGGGCCTCTCGAGCGCGCACGCAGAAATCGCCCGAACGCCACTGCGCGCGCGCTGTCGCAAAAACGGGACGTCGTGCACGCGCGCGAGCCGTCCCGGGCGCATGCGGAAATCCTTTAGAACCTGAGATGTCGCAGGGATTTCCAATGTCAAACTCGAGCGTCACGCAAAACATATTTGCTTCAAACACACAATGGTTTGGAAACATCAATTGTCAAACATGCCTGCGTTCGCGCCTTGTTTTTTCCAACATATTCATTAAATTCTGCCAAACGGGCCTCTCGCGCAGCGCATCGAAATCATTCGAACGCCCGGACGGGTATGCTGGGTGGCATGATCCGCGTCAAGTCACGCTCAAAGGCCCACTCTCGCACGTCGGCCACGAGCGCATGTCAAACTCCGTCCACGGCATGCGTAACCGACGCGAGGACGCCGTCATCGCCATCGGCGCGATCAGCACCGGCGCCGTCATTGGCCCTGCCATCTCCCTTGTCATCATTGCCACCGGCGTCGCTACTACCATCGTCGCGCCCGCCGTTGTCGACGTCGCCGCGTCACCGCGCCCGCCCGAGCCACCGCCTCGCACTGATGCGCCCGCTGGAAGTGCCCAGCGGCCGGCGCCGCCGCGGCCACGTCGGTCGCGCCAGAAAGAGCCGACTGCTTCGCGCGAGAGCACGCGCGCTGGCGCAGCCGCGGCGACGCGACTGCCAGCGACAAGCGGCCATCGCAATCGCCACCGCATGGCTTCGGCAAACCAAGTAGCAGGTGGGCGGGTGGGATGATTGCGCGAGCAGTGGAGCTGGCAACTTCATATTCGGCAGGGTGTGGTTTACGCCCGCCCGGGATTCACGGCCCACCTTATCGCATTGCAATGTGCTTACGGTACTGCCCCATCGCCCATCCTGAATATGAACCCAATCCACCCCAGGCAGGCCAAGAGTTCGCATCCACCCCCCTCGTCTGGCCAAAAAACTTTGCGCGCACTTTCGTTCATCAAGAATCATGAGTGTTCATCCGTCCTTTTTCATCCAAAAAAAGGGCACGAAGTGCACGCGCTCGCCGTCGCGCGCGCACGCCGACATCGTTGACACATATTCTGCAGCGTCGCAAGGAATTAAGTAGAGCCTCATGAAACACACCAACAAATGCTTCGCAGCGAGAGCGTTCAAAAAAGCACGCGCTCGCACTCTTGCGAATTCTTCAGACAACCATCGGTTCTTTAGCATGTTCATCAAATGCTACAAAACGGGCCTCTCGCGCGCGCGTCGCAATCGCCCGAACGGCTTTGCGCGCGCGGCGTCGCTATCATCCCTGGCAAAAACACGCGGCGAAACGCACGCTCGCGCGCCGTCGCGCGCGCGCCGAAATCATTGGAAAAACCTTCGGGGTCGCTTGAATTTCAAAGAGTGCCCCGAAAACATCAGAAACGCATGGTTTTGCTACAATGCTCAAAACGATTCTGCGCTCGCGCCCTTGCGGGTTCTTGAGAAAACCATCGACGTTCCAATGTGTTCCTCAAATTTGCCAAACCATCCTCTCGCGCCGCACGTCGAACTCATTCGCGCGCCCTTGCGCGCGCTGGGGGGGGGGGCATGCGTGGGTTGGGCGGGATCCTACCTGACTTCGTCCCCTTGCTAACGATACACATTCAATTCAGCCGGCTCAAAATCCCACACGTGAAAAACGTGGGAAAAAACCTAGATCCCATCTCACTTCCAGATAAAATGCTCAGTTTAGACGTAAGATGGGACTGAAAGTTGCAGGCCCCCTGCCGTGCCAGGGTCGCATTGAGGCCATCCTGAAACGATATTGATATCAAATCCGAATCATTACTGGATCACGCGGACGTCGTCGGAGCATTCTGGAGCCATCCTGGACGTGCCTAGACCCATCGTGTGGCCATCGTACCATCTCAGGGTCACTCGTTGCTCGCAGGCTGCGGCTGGGCCATCTTAGAGTCGGCCTGGAACGATCCAGAAGCCATGTCGGAATCATGTTTGGGCGGCGTCATCCCAGGGGCGCCTGCAGGTCATCGTCTGTGGTTTGAGGCATTATTGGAATCCGTTTGTGGTCATGGGGTCATCGCGGGATCGACGCCGTGTGAGTGCTGAACGAGCGTGCACAGCATGTCATCTTGCCGTTGGCGCACCTGCAAACACTTCCTCGCGTGAGTTTCCACGAAATCGTTTGTTGGAGCCAGGTATGTATACGAAAGAAAAATACAAAAGAGAAAGGGAGAGCGAGAGAGAGATACATAAAAACCAAAAACAAAAACAAAAAGGAGATGGCAGGCGTGGAGTGCGTGCGAACATTTCAGGAAATCCACAGATGAAGCTGTCTGCTCTGGTGTAAGATGCATGTGTGGGGCTTCTTGGCAAACAACCCTTGGGCTCTCCTCTGGTGGAACGCAAGATTGCCGAAAGCAGCCACACGGCGTTCGAACACATCCGGTGCTCTCGAATGGAGGGGCAGCTTGCCCAAACCTGCCCCGCAGGCAGACGAACAACGTCCCTTGATGCTCGAACCCGTCCCAGAAGGTCTATGCTGTCGCACGTGGCAGAACCACGTCCCCCCTCGAGGTGGCGGAGGTGCGCGGCAGCGCCATCGCATGAGCCCCTTCACCTTCACAAAAGGATCCTGGGGGGAACGGTGAAACAACCGGGCCGTCGAGATGACCCGGCTGCAGATCTGGGCCCCCCGCATCCTGGCGGCTGCCGTCCCCCCATCCTCCCCGGCGCCCTCGGACTCCCTCCTGCCCTGCGAAGCGGGAGCCCATCCTTCTTGTCCGCCCTCCTGTCTTTGACGGCGGGCACCCTTCCACCCCCCTTCCTTTCCTCAGCCTGCCAGGAGGAGGAGGAGGAGGAGGAGGAGGAGGAGGAGGAGGAGGAGGAGGAGGAGGAGGAGGGAGGGAGGGGAGAGGGAGGGGAAGGACGGAGGAGGAGGAGGAGGAGGAGGAGGAGGAGGAGGAAGAGGAGGAGGAGGAGGAGGAGGGGGAGAAGGGGGAGGAGGAGGAGGGGGAGGAGGAGGAGGAGGAGGAGGAGGAGGAGGAGGAGTTCCTTCCTCCCTGGCCTCGGGCTCCTGCCTCGAGCGGCGGACTCCGCTCGCTCACCCCCCCCTCCGCGTGCGGGGGGGCGGGCTACAGAAGGAGCGCACACTCCCTGCGAGGAGCTACAGTCAAAAACCCTAATAAGTACGCGCGGTAAGGACGCAAGACCCTTGGAAGCCGAAGTTGGGATTTTGGGGGCGGCGGACGACGAAAACTCCAAGGACGCAAGAGCAAGGAAGAGCAAGGACGCAAGGGTACCCTGAGCAAAGTCGCGCGTCCTTATTAGGGTTTTTGACTGTAGCCAACATGGAGCACAGGCTCTCAAATCACGGCTCTGGTCAGGCAGCAAGCGAGGATGCTGATAGCCGTGCTGGCACTGAAGAATGGGAAATGAAAGCAGGAACAGGTTTCATCTCACCAGGCCTTTGGGCAACAGGCAACAGGTGGTCTACGGGTTGTCTCTTTATTCTTCCACAACCCCCCTTTCCCTTCGGGGATGGGAACCCTCCCCCTCCCCTCCCTGGGGGGTTTGTTGGAGGTTTCGCGAGGTGTCGGAGGCTCCTTTTTCGGCCAGTGGGAGGGCCAATTGTTGACACTCCTCACGACGATCGTGGAAGGACCCCCCCTCTTTTGACCGACCGCCTCCAAGATGGCCCCAAGAGGTCCCCCAGGGCTCCCAAGAGGGCCCCACTAGCGCCCCAAGAGGCCCCATGACGGCTCCAAGAGGCCCCCAAGAGGCCCCCAAGAGGCCTCCAAGAGGCACCCGAGAGGCACCCAAGAGGTCCCCAAGCGGCCTCAGAGAGCCCGAGCTGACCTCCAAGATGGCTCAAGATAGCCCAAGCTGGCTCAAGACGGCTCCCAAAATGCTCCAAGAGGCCCCAAGACCTCTCCAAGACGGCTCGAGATGGCCTCTTCACCCCCGCCCCCACCCCCACGCGCGCCCGGAGATGGCCCCAACACACCGTCCAGGCTGGCCTCCTTCGCTTTTTGACTATGCGTGTCTCTTCCTTTCTCCCCCCGTCAGCTCTCATGGGCATCGTTTCTGGATGGGCTGGTCGGGATAATCTGTTTTGATCGCAAGCGCACCGGGAACGCCGGACGCCGTCCGAGAATCGTAGCTAGCGGGCTAAGCTGGTCGGGGTAGGCGAAGCGTCAAGAACTTTCTCTACAGCAGAGGTCGCGCCCCCCCCCTCCAACCTCTCCGCCCCCTCCCCCGATCACGGAAGGGGTCCTCGCCGGCAGCAGCGCCGAGACGCACCACCGCCTGCATGCGCGATGCGAGCTGCGCGAGGGCCGAGGAGTGGTACTGTCTGGCCAGCTGCTGCACTGCGGTGATGACCTCCGCCTTCTTGAGGTCCACGGACGTCCGCATCTGCGCGCGGCGGGACGAGAGCTGCGCGAAGCTGTAGCTCTGCGTCACGGCCCCGGAGGTGGTGTCCTCCAGGATCTTCTTGGCGTCCGCGATGGCTTTGAGCTCGGCGTTCCGGCCGGCCACGGTCGCCTCGTGGTCCGCAGCCACCTGCATGCAGTCGTTCTTGATGCTCTCCAAGACGGAGTTCGCATCCGCCAGGGCCTTGACCGTCATCTCGAGGTCCTTGGTGTCCGCCGCCTTCTCCTCCTCCGCTGCTTCCTTGGCCGACTTCTCGTCCGCCATGTCTTTGTTGTCGTTTGTGTTCGCATCGGTGAGAGACTGCTCAAGCATCTCGAAGTTCTGCTTCGTGTTGGTCTCGGCCTTGCGCAGGGCCGCCAGGTCCTCCTCGGCCTTCTCCTTGAGGTCCTCGAGCAGGTCCAGGATGTCGGTGGAGTGCGTCTTGTAGACCACCGCCGCGGGCGCGCCCATGGGGTCCTCCTCGCTCTCGGAGCTCTGGCTGGCCTGCACGAGCGCAGTCAGTCTCTGCTGGCTGGCTGCGGAGAAGGAGGCGGCCTCCATGATGGCCGTGAGGCCCTTCATCAGGTTCTTGAAGCTCGAGGTGTCCACCTGGGTGAACGCCGCAGGGTTCTTGGACATCTCCTTCGAGATGATGCTGATGGCCCGGCCAAGCGTGTCGATCGCATCCATCAGCTCTGCCTCGTTCGCAGCGAACTCGGATGCCTCCTTCTTCCTGATGACCGTCGCGTCGGTCAGGTCCTTGGTCTGGGTCGCGATGCTCGCCACAAGCTCCTCGATCTTGCCTTCAGACACGGCGATGTCGCTGCTCAGCTTGCCGATGGAGGCCTCGAGGTCGCCCTTCTTCGACTCACCGGTCTTGATCTCGTTGCGCTTGTTGCTCGCTGCATCGTCGCACCAGTTGGTGTACTCGACGAAGGCCTTCTGCTCCGCGTCGCCCGCGGACGCCACCTTAGCGTACAAGGAGTCAAGCAGCTCCAACACCTTTCCCAGTGGGTTCTGGCCGTCGGCGGCCGCCTGGGCGGGGGCCGCGCCAACCAGCAGCAGCGCCACGGCGGCCGTCACCTGGAAGGTCTTCATTGCGGAGCGGGAGTTGGAGCAGCGGGAGCGACTGTGGGGTCTGTCGAATCCGCCGACCCCCGTTTGCCGGGGGTGAACAGGCATATGAGATTTGTGGCTGTCCTCTTCCCCCCCTCCTCCTCCTCCTCCTCCTCCTCCACCTCCTCCTCCTCCTCCTCCTGTTCTCCCCTGCGATGCAAAATCTCGTTGCGAAGGGGGGGCGTACGAGTTCGTCTCCTACCCTATCCCCCGTGGCATCGCACGTGTCAAAGATGCCTTCCAGGACCCAGAACTCCAACACGCCAAAGAGGTCTTAAGAGCATCCAAGAGGGCCTCAAGATCACCCGAGAGGCTCCGAAGACGCCCCAGGAGGGGCTCAAGAGAACCTCTTAAGCGGGCCTCGACAGGTAAAAGACATAGATGTTGCCAATGCGTGTTGAATGAGTTTCGCGCTGTCGCTTTCGCAGACTTCTGCAAGCCCACGACGGCCCGAGAGGCCGTCCGGACAGGCCCAAGACAACACCGGAGGCTCCAATACGGCCCAGCGACGGCCTGAAAGGGCCCCCAAACCGCCCCCCCAAACTGTATGTATGTATGTATGTATGCATGCATGCATGCATGCATGTATGTATGTATGTATGTAAGTATGTAAGTATGTAAGTATGTAAGTATGTAAGTAAGTATGTATGTATGTAAGTATGTATGTATGTATGTATGTATGTATGTATGTATGTATGTATGTATGAGTGTATGTATGAGTGTATGTATGTATGTACGTATGTGTATATATATATATGTATGTGCACGTTCTTATGTGCATGTGCATGTGTATGTTTGATTGTGTATGTGTATGTGATGTGTATGTGATGTGTATGTGTATGTGTATGCGTATGCGTATGCGTATGCGTATGCGAATGCGCATGTATGTTTGTGTGTGTAAGTGTAAGTGTGTGTGTGTATGTGTACGTGCATGTGCATGTGCACGTGTTTATGTATGTGCATGTGCATGTGTATGTGTATGTGTATGTGTATGTGTATGTGTATGTGTATTGTATGTGTATGTGTATGTGTGTTGTGTTGCGTTGCGTGTTACGTGGTGGTGTGTGTGTGTTTGTGTGTGGGTGCGTGTGAGCGCGTGTGTGTGCGTGTGTGCGTGTGTTTGGGTGGGTGTTTGGGTGTATGTGTGTATGCGTGTGTGTGTGTGTGTGTGTGTGTGTGTGTGAGCGTGTGTGTGTGAGTGTGTGTGCGTGTGTGCGTGCGTGTGCGCATGTGTGCGGGGGTGCGTGTGTGCGTGTGTGCGTGTGTGCGTGGGTGCGGGTGTGCAGCTGCGCGGGTGGCGTGTGTGAGTGGGAATGGGTGTGTCCGTGTGTCTGTGTGTCTGTGTGTCCGTGTGTCTGCGTGTCCGCGTGTGTGCGTGTGCGTGTGTGTGTGTGTGTGTGTGTGTGTGTGTGTGTGTGTGCGTGGTGTGTGTGTGTGTGTGTGCGTGTACGTGCGCGTGTGCTGTGCGTGTGCGTGTGTGTGTGTGCGTGTGCGTGCCGTGTGCGTGTGTGTGGCGTGTGCGTGTGCGTGCGTGTGTGTGCGCGTGGTGCGAATGTGTGTGTGTGTCTGTGTGTCCGTGTATCTGTGTGTGCGTGGGTGCGTGCGTGCGTGCGTGCGTGCGTGCGTGCGGGTGTGCGTGCGTGCGTGCGTGCGTGGGTGGGTGCGGGTGTGTGGGGGTATGTGGGTGTGTGGTGTGCGTGTGTGTGTGTGTGTTTGTGTGTGAGTGTGTGTGTGTGCGTGTGCGTGGGTGTGCGTGGGTGTGCGTGTGTGGGTGTGTCTGTGTGTCTGTGTGTCCGTGTGTCTGTGTGTCCGCGTGTGTGCGTGAGCGTGTGCGTGAGCGTGTGCATCTGCGTCTGCGTGTGCGTGTGCGTGAGCGTGTGCGTGTGCGTGTGCGCGTGCGTGTGTGTGCGTGGGTGCGAGTGTGTGTGTGTGTGTGTGTGCGTGTGTGTTCGTGCGTGGGTGCGTGTGTGTGCGTGCGTGCGTGCGTGTGTGCGTGCGTGCGTGCGAGCGTGGGAGGCTGGGTGGGTGCGGGTGTGTGTGTGTGGGTGTGTGGTGTGCGTGTGTGTTTGGGTGTGTACGTGTGTGTGTGTGTGTGCGTGTGCGTGGGTGTGCGTGTGTGTGTGTGTGTGTGCGTGTGTGAGTGTGTGTGTGTGTGTGTGTGCGTGCGTGCGTGCGCGCGCGTGCATGCGCGCGCGCCTCCTGCATGGCGGCCAGATTCGCCTTTCGTCCATCCGCCCACGCCCTGTCGCCAGCGCAGTGACCTTGCCTAGCCACCGGCGCACAAAGTTTGCGCGTGCGTGCGAGCGCGCGCGCGCGCGTGTGCGCGTGCGTGCGTGTGTGAGCGTGAGCGTGCGTGCGTGCGTGCGTGCGAGTGCGTGCGTAAGTGCGTGCGTGTGTGAATGTGTTGTGTTTGTGTGCGCGCGTGCGTGCGCGTGTGTGTTTGGGCGCGTGTGCGCGCGTGCGCGCGTGCGCGCGCGCGTGCGTGCGCGCGCGCGCGCGCGTGCGCGCGCGCGGGCGCGCGTGCACGCTCGCGTGCGTACGAGCGCGCGCGTGCGAGAGTGCGTGCGTGGGTGCGCGCGTGCGTGCGTGCGTTTGTGCGCGCGCGTGTGCGTGTGTGTGTGTGCGCGTGCGCATGTGTGTGTGTGATGCTGTGCGTGTGCGTGCGTGCGCGCGCGCGCTGGCGCGCGCGCGTGCGCGTGCGCGTGCGCGCGTGCGAGTGCGAGCGCGCGCGTATGTGTGTGCGTGTGAATGTGTTGTGTTTGCGTGCGTGCGCGCGTGCTTGCGTGCGTTTGGGCGTGCGCGCGTGCGTGCGCGCGTGCGCGCGCGTGTGAGTAAGTGCGTGTGCGTGTGTGTCCGTTTGTGCGTGCGTGTGTGTATGCGCATGTGCGCGCGCGTGCGTGTGTGTGTGAGTTACTGTGCGCGCGCGTGCGTGCGTGTGTTTGGGCGCGTGCGTGCGTGCGCGCCTGAGTGCGAGTGCGCGTGAATGTGTTGCGTGTTTGTGCGCGCGCATGCGCGCGTGCTCGCGTGCGCGCGCGTGCGCGTGCGCGCGCGCGCGTGCGCGCGCGTGGCGCGCGCGGCGCGTGGTGGTGCGTGGCGTGCGTGCGTGTTTGCGCGCGTGCGTGCGTGCGCGCGTGAGTATGAGTGCGTGGCGGGCGCGCGCGCGCGCGTGTGGCGCGCGCGTGCGTGCGCGCGTGTGCGCGTGCGTCTGTGCATGTGTGAATATTTGGATGCGTGGATGTGTGTATGTGTACGTATGCGTATGTGCGTACGTGTGTATGTGTGCATTCGTGTATGCGTGCATGTGTGCATGTGTGTATGTGTGTATGCGTGTACTTGTATGTGTGTATCTATGTACGTGTGTGCATGTGTGAATGCGGGTCTGTGTAGATGTATACACATGTGTATGTGTGTATGTGTGTGCGTGTGCACGTGTGCATGTGTGCATGCGTATGTGTATGGGTGTGCACGCTAGTAGGTGTGAACGTGTGCGTGTGTATGAGTGTGAGTATGTTTGCGATTGCGTTTGCGCATGTGTATGCGTATGTGTATGTGGTTGCGTTTGTGCTTGTGTTCGAGTGTGTGTTTGTGCTTGTGTTTGTTGTTGCGTTTGTTGTCATGGTTGTGTTTGTGTTTGTGTGTTTTTGTGCGTGTGTTTGAGTTTGCGTGTGTGTCTGTGTTTGCGTTTGCTTTTGCGTTTTGTGGTTGCAGTGGCGATTGTGATTGTGATCGTGGTTGTGTCTGCGCGTGTCCGCGTTGGCGCTTGCGTGTTGTTTGCGTTTGTGCATGCGCGTGCAATTGCGCATCCGCTTGTGGTTGCGATTGTTTGTGTTTATGTTTGCGCTTGCGTTTGCAATGGAGCGCGTGTCTGTCTGTCCGCGCGCGTTAGCTCGCGCGTGCTAGCGCGCGCGAGTGCGTCTGCGCGCGCGCGCGTTTGCCCCCGGGGGCGCGCGGGCGCACGGGCGCGCGCGCGGGCGTCCGCGACCCTTCTGGCTCGGCCCGCCGGGCTCGAACACGGCCCCAGCTCGCACGAGGCGCTCGCGATGGAGACCGCGGCGGCGCGGCAGCGGCGGCAACGGGCGGCCGCCTCCGCGAGCGCTGCCGGCGTCGCGGGCGGCGCGGGCGGGCGCCGCGGGCGCCGCCGGCGCCGCGGGCGCGCCGCGCCCCGCGGGCGCCGCGGGCGCCGCCAGGGCCGCAGGCCGCGCGCGCGGCGATGCGCGCCGCGGGCGCCGCGGGCGCCGCTGGCGCCCCTGGCCTCGTTGGCGCCGCGGGCGCCGTCGGCGCTGCCGGCGCTGCCGGGGCCGCCGGAGCCGCGGTCGCCGCTGGCGGGGCGGGCGCCGCAGTCGCCGCTGGCGCTTCGAGCGTCGCGGCCGCCGCGAGCGCCGCGGGCGCCGCGGGCGACGCTGGCGTCGCTAACGCCGCGTTCGCCACCGGCGCTTCCGGCGCAGCAGCAGGCGCCGCCGCCGCCGCGGGCACCTCGGGCGCGGCCACGGCCGCCTCGGCCGCCGCGGACGCCGCTGCGGCGGCGGCCACTGCCAGGCACTCGGCGGCGACGGCCGCCCTCGCCCCGGCGGCGGCACCTGCGGCCTGCGCAGCGGACTGGCCGAGCGCGCCACCTGGCCTGGGACGTGCGTTCCAGCATCATGGCGGACTCCACCAACAGGATCGCGCGCGCGGCGCGCATGGACCCAGCAGCACCACCATGAGCAACACGACGGACGCCAGCTACAAAACGGCAAGCAAAGCGACGAACTTTTCGACATGATCCGCGCCCTGGGACAACCGCGGACCCGCCCAGCTTGGAAAATGCCGCAGTGAGATAAGTCCACCAGCAACACCGCCCCGACCAACGCGCGCGAAACGGACAGGCAACAACAACGGCAGCCGGCCCCCGCGATGCTCCGAGACATGCTGGGAGCAATACAGGAGCTCACCATCATCTGCTCCAGCACCCCGACGAATGCGCGCGAGAGGAACTGGCGGGGGCAGCCGCAGCCAGCTCCTGCGCTGCACCGAAGTACATTG